TATCGAATGCCTGCGCCTCGTGATCCTGTCTGATCTGACGATGGTGTGACGATTATAGTTGGGATTTTCCGCCAAAAAGCCATGCAGACGTTGAAGATCTTGAATTTTGTAGTGATCACGCCTATAAATAATGCAAATAGTCAGTGGTTTGTGCTACTCAAAGGAAAAGGCGACCTGAACTAACGTAGGAACGCACCAATTGGTCCTTTGTAGTCGGGGTTCCCTTCTAGTTGGTCAAAAGTGAGACCAGCTCCAGTATGACCCAGTGTTGTACAAGATTGACGGTATTTTTTCTTGAGTCTGAACAGAAAGTTATGAGTTGGCCTGACTTGAATAGATGTGAGGGACAACGTACGAGGCAATGTGGTTATCGACAGCTTTTGCAAACCTTCCCGGATTGGCTTTGAGAGTGCTGCATATGACTGGATCCCTATCTCCACTGAATACAAACTGAGCTATCTCCCCATGTATCGTAACCTTGCTCGACTTTGCCTGACCCTTCTTCCTACTCTCTTTGTTGGCATCTTCCTGGGAGTTGGAGAAGAGCAGATGTCGTTTCTGAACATTTTGTTCCAACCAATCCAGGAGACGATCTGTACATTCTGACATCCACTTAATGGTCAGGGGGCCTCCAGGCATCCCATTCTCGTCAAATTCGTCGATATCATCAAGATCATCGTTGTAGTCGTCGGCAGGTTGAGTAGAGCGAGACATAGCGTGGGCGTAAAGAGACTAATAGCTGTGTCTGGTCAGTTCGATAACACGCATCGGAATTTCAGGCGGAGTTAGCCCCATGAATTCTTTGGAAAAAATGAATTCATCTATACCCGACCCTTTCTGGTAATTATTTCAGCTTCAGACGCTTACAAATATCCACTTTTCTTTTTTTCAGGCTCCTGAAAATATTTCAGCGTTTACTTCTTCGAACGACGCTATTGTAGAAAGGATGTTTGTAAAATATGGCAATATACTTGTAAAAAACTTTTTTTTTTTACCGAAAACTGAAGAGATGACTGAATTCGATGTTGTTGTTCATTGTATATATGAGCTTCAAGCTTAGCTAACTTGCCATCATCCTTGCCCACCACGCTTTAGGTTTCGACTATAATCAGGACATATAGTAGTACACAGCCTCATCTACACACACCTGCCATTTCCCATTCCATGCGCTCACAGTACAGTGTTAATTCTGATTGTCGCAGTGCATACCTAACATTCATATGAGTTGACCTCCTTCCCTATCCGCCTCGACATTTTCTCCGTCCTCACGTTCACTCTGGCGTTCCTGCAATGCCCACTTCTCGTCTTTCTGCGTGTGAAGCGGTAAGCCTTTCATCAGCAAACTCGACAGAAGCCCAACACCCGCTACAACGATGAGGACTTTCCAAAGCAACACCAGCGACACTGCAAACGCCTGGCGTACGACTGCCTTCGTGGCTGGAGGAAGCTGGGGGATGAGCGGGATGATGGAGTACGCGATATCTGTGCTTTGGGCTGATTGCGTGCCATGGAAGAGCGTGACGGGAGTACGTTTCTGAAGTTCGTTTTGAAGCACTGCGCCTTCGATCGTCACAGCCCAGACCTTGCAAGAAGAAAAAATAAATAGATAGCCATGAGTTTCAATCTTTGACCAACACAGTAGTATGAATAAGGCGCACACCTGCGTAAGAGTACGGACAAACACAAAGAAGGACAGCGCATACGCGTTTGAGGTTACAGGCAATGGGGCGAGGACAGGGAAATATGTGCCTGAAAACACAATTCCAACACCTATCCCGATGATGACTTGATATCCAATCGACTTTGCCTGCGCGGTGTTCTCGTCTATAGTGGTGAGTAGCCCTAGGCCGAGTAATATGCAACACCACGCAAACCATAATTGAGGCCGATATCGCTTGGTTGCCCTGACGCTGAGACCAGCAAAGATGGAGAAGGGCGCGGTGGAGAAACTGAGCCCGAAGAGGTCAACGCCGGATGCAATTGGAGATGCGCCCTTGCAAGCTTGATAATACACTGGCATGTAATCTAGTATGCAAAAACTACGTGAGCTTGATCAAGATGCTGGATAAATGATTACAGCTTACAGAGGATGCTGATGTTGATGAACGCGCCCAAGGATATTTGAATATACCTAGATTTGTGCAAACAAGTCGATACCCGTTGGGTGGATCTGGCAGGATGAAGTTACCCGCTTAGATTAGTCCGATTTGAGAGCAGATTCCACGGTACCTGGGCTAGAATTAGCCCATGAATCAACTGCGGTCTGAACTGGAGCGCACTAGTGGAGTCTGGCACCAGAGGCCCTCAAACAAGAAGAACACGATCAAACCTGCGAAACCTAAGCAGATAGGAACGAGGACTTGAGCAGTGTTCCACGGGTAAACAACCCCGCCCCATGTGAGCCCAATCACACAAGCACATGTTGCACCAATGATAATAAAATTACCACTGGTTTTTGAGTTTGTGTTCAGTGCTATGAAAATTTTGATGATAAAAGGCACTCACATCCAGTCTATCCGAGCCATCTTTTCCTTCAGGGTCCCTACCGGAGTCGGAAGGCTGAGAAACAGTAACACAAGTAGAAAAGCCAAGCCAGCAATAGGTATATTGAGATCTGTAAGCCAAATCAAAGACCCTCATCAAAATGATGAGAAGATATACGTACAAAAAAGCCAGCGCCATCTAGAGGGTTGAGCTAAAGCTCCGCCAACTAACGGACCTATGCCGCCACCTAAAGCCCATGTTCTGAAGATACTGTAAGAGTCGGTCTACACTTTGTATGGAGAAAACTTACAGTCCAAAAAGTCCGCTGTACGTTCCACGTTCTTTGAGAGTAACCATGTCCGAGAGGATAATCTGACTTAAAGTAAATATACCTCCTGCACCTGATCCTTGGATAGCTGTTATAGGTTGATATGAGAAGAAATATGTGGGCGGAAGATGATCGATGATCCTTACTACGTGCTGCGATTAACATGTTCATGCTCTGAGCTGCGCCGCCCAATGCGCTTCCCAAAGCAAACAACACAAGAGAAACGAGGACGATGGGGCGTCGACCAAAAATCTAGGACCACAGTTAACGAATGATGATCTGACATGAATGCAGGCCAATCGTTATACATACTTCAGCTAAGCCACCACTGAGAGGAAGGAGGGCTGTGCTTGCAAGACCGTACGAGGTTGCAACCCAGACGAATTGGTTGCTGTGGAGCTCTGTTACGATAGTAGGCAAGGCTGTCGAGACTGCATACTAGAAATGAAGGGAAAATCAACACGAGTTTTTAAACTAAAGATCGGGAATGTATGCAAACTTACGAACTACAGGAATATCAGAACCTCGAGCTTCGCGAAGCTGTATCTGATGATCCGGACTGTGCTAATTCCAAACCCAATGGATTTGAATACAAGAGCGAACCGGGCCAACTTGACTCAACCGCCGGGGGCCTGTCCAAGCTTTCAAGCTTCAAGTGTGTGGGCAGGACTGCCGCTGGGATATTCCAGTCCAAGTTGAGAGCTGGTCATGATGCTCAGATGCTGATACCAACATTACCAGAGATAGCCTGGTCGCCGCATCCTCTAGGTGAGGTGTGAGCGTGCGAGGAACTCCGAATTGGTCATTGCAAGGGAGATAATCCCTCTTGAGGACTGTCCAGCAGCTTGAACGTTCTGAGCAGTAGAGAAGTAGGTCTATGCTTTGTCAGCAACCCAAATAGGGATACCGCTCATCTGACCAGAGATGGGCCGTCTTCTACCGCATTCGCCCCTCTGTAAATCCACACGCACGTATGCTTCATTCTTCTTCCGAACAACAGCAGGATAAGAATAACAGTTAATGGCTCTCCTGAGATGCTTCTTTGATACCATCTATCACTGACATGGCATCCCAGCTTTCTCTCCCAACCCTCGACAGGCTCCGTAGCACCATCCCACCTGATCTCGACGTTCAGCATGTTGCACAACAATGGTTCAAGGCGTTTTCAGATGGCATGGTATCAGGGATACCTAGCGATGTCATTGCAGACTTTGTGGACGACGCTTTTTGGCGCGATATGTTCGCTCTGACATGGGATATGCGCACATTCCAATCTACCCCAGCGATTGAGAAATTCCTTGCTGATCAGCTGAAAGCTTTCAAAGTCTCAGCGTTCAAGCTCAGAAAAGATCTTGTATGCTTGGAGAAGCCTTATCCAGATCTAGCTTGGATTCAGGGTTTCTTTGATTTCGAGACTCAAGTAGGCCTCGCATCTGGTGTTTTCAGGCTTGTTCCATTACCCGATGGCACTTGGAAAGCGCATACAGTCCTCACAAACCTCGAGGACTTGAAGGGCTTCCCTGAAAAAATTGGATCTTTGCGAAACTTCCAGCCTAATCATGGTAAATGGGCTGATCAACGTGCTCGCGAAAAGGAATTCGCCGATGCCGACCCCCAAGTAGTCGTAATCGGCGGAGGACAAAGTGGTCTTGAAATCGCTGCACGACTCAAGGCCCTTGACGTGAGCACGCTGGTCTTAGAGAAACATGAAAGGGTAGGAGACAATTGGAGGAAGAGGTACGAGGCATTGTGTCTCCACGATCCTGTTTGTGAGTATACTGTTTGACATTACACACTTTCGTCTCATTCGTTGTCCATTCAGGGTATGATCATATGCCATATATTCCGTACGTTCGTAGATTTATCAGAATTACTTCTTCGCTGACTCGGTCCAATACAGCTTTCCCTCGACATGGCCCGTGTACAGTCCTGCACTGAAGCTAGCAGACTGGCTCGAGTCCTATGCGCACTCTCTGGAACTTAACGTGTGGACTTCTTCCGCTGCTACTAGTGTCACACGACTTGAACCTGGATCTAAGCACAAGTGGCGCGTTGCTGTGAAGCGTCACGATGGGCAGGAAAGGGTGCTAAACGTCAATCAAGTCATTTTCTGCATGGGATTTGGAGGCAGTGTACCACGTATGCCGACTTATCCTGGAATGGTGCGTGTCATGTTCCAGGATCTCAACTTCGTGCTCATCCAGACTACGTAGGACGAGTTTAAAGGTCAAATCCTCCACTCAGGTCAACACAAGAGGGCTCTCGATCACAAGGGGAAAAAGGTTGTCGTTGTTGGATCATGCACGTCTGGTAAGTCATACGCTTCGTTATACTCTTAGCCACTATCGAATAATCGACAATATAGCACACGATATCTGTTCTGATTACTGCGAACATGACATTGGTGAGTTAAGTTGTATTATTATAACAGCATTAAGATATTGATGGAATTCTGTTAGATGTGACGATGTGCCAGCGTGGCCCTACTTACATCATGACTACGAAGGAGGGAATGCCCAGGCTATTATGTATGCGTCTGATTACAGCCAATGACCATTCATATCTTTGATTGATCTTCTCCTTTTACCACAGCACTGTTCTGGGATGGCGGGCCACCTACCGATATCGCTGATAGGATAAATGCGTCTTATCCCAACCACCTACTCAAGCTCATGCATGTTCGATTAACGAAGAACATCGCTGAAGCCGATAAGTTCGACACATTCCTTTCCGCTATGGTGTGTTGGCACTAAATCTTTCTTTTCTTGCAGAGTACTTCTAGATGGTCTTCGAAAACGCGGGTTCAAGCTCAGTTTCGGTGCCGATGACTCTGGTTTCCTGTTACTCGCATGGGAGAAGGCGGGAGGGTACTATCTCGGTTCGTGTTGTCCGATATCACAGAATTTACTTACTCATTGGCCAATTTTCTATTTTGGTCAGATGTTGGCGCCTCACAATTGATCGTCGACGGGAAAATCAAGCTAAAATCCGATAGTCCGATGGCCAAATTCACGCCATCAGGGCTTGAATTTGAAGACGGGTCCACTCTTGACGCGGATGTTGTAATCTTTGCGACTGGGTAAGCCAAAATTTCCCAGGTGGAAGTTATCACTTTGTCGTGGTCATATCTTCTACCCATTCACAATCTTGTTCATAGGTGGTCAGACGCGCGTTCGGCGTATCGTGAGCTTCTTGGGGATGAGATTGGTGATAAATTGAACCCCATTTGGGGTCTTGACGCGGAGGGCGAGTTCAATTCGACTTGGCGTGAGGTAGGGGTCGATGGCATCTGGTGTATGATGGGTGGGTTCAGAATCACAGTAAGGTAACAGCAATGCACGAGATGCTGATGTTGCCCTTTCAATAAGGTAATCTTGCGCTATGTCGATTCCACTCTAAGCATCTTGCTCTTCGTGAGTTCTCTCTACCTCCTCTTCTCGATTGTCATTGCTTTTCTTAACTGCCTCCGATGATCCATATCAGAAATCAAAGCGAAAGAAGAAGGTATTTTCGGGACGAGATATAGCGCAGTGTCGCCGGAACACGTGTAGTGTGTCAAACTTGAAGCGACGAGCTCCCTTGAAGAAGATGATGCCCGTTGGAGCATTGTATAAAGTGACGTTGGAGAACCATGTCATGAGCAGAAGAGTATGTTCATTTCCGCGGAACGAAGTCATATTTCGAGCTGGTTTTACAGTTTATGTTTTGTTTTTGTTTTCTTTCTTACAATGTCTGTACAGTAGTCATACACCGAGCCTCAGACTGGTGGATCCAATGAAAGGAAGGAATCTCCCACTATTGATACCTGCGACACCCGGCATCCAATCAATGGCACGATTGGTTATAGCGGCTAGATAAGGTGAGTCAGGAATGTGCATCTGACCCAAGTTAGAGAGATCCTGTGCATTTGTGATAACTGTCACCTAACTATCCCATTTCGAATTCGGGAGTCGTATCCGATGAATAATAAGCTTACGCTCTGTGCGAATCATATCAATCCGATGACAATACAGCAAGTGATTTAAGGTGGCCTCTTCCTCTTCCCCAATCTTCATCCATCGTGACCATGCCCTCCCAGCTTTCTCTCCCAACACTAGACAAACTCCGGGGTGTTGTTCCTCAAGACCTCGATGCCAACAAAGTAGCAGAAGAATGGTTCGCGTCTTTCGCAGCAAACATGCAAGATGGGAACGTCGATAACATCATCAACCTCCTCGTAGACGACGCATTCTGGCGCGACATGTTCACACTCACATGGAACTTGCGGACATTCCAGTCCACTCCCATTATCAAAAAGTTCCTTATCGATCAGCTTGCCACTTTCAAAGTCTCGTCGTTCAAGCTCAGGAAAGATCTCGTCGCTTTGGAACAGCCCTACCCGGACTTGGCATGGATCCAGGGTCTCTTTGATTTTGAAACCCACGTAGGCATTGCTTCAGGTGTATTCAGGCTCGTCCCATTGCCAGACGGCACTTGGAAAGCACACACGGTCCTCACGAACTTGGAAGATCTGAAGGGCTTCCCAGAAAAGATCGGATTCCTACGCAACTTCCTCCCTAACCACGGTAAATGGGCTGAGCAACGTGCGCGCGAAAAAGAGTTTACCGATGCGGAGCCTCAGGTCCTCGTGCTCGGTGGTGGTCAGAGTGGTCTTGAAATTGCGGCACGACTGAAAGCGCTTGGTTTGAGTGCTCTCGTTATAGAGAAGAACGAGAGGATAGGGGACAATTGGAGGAAGCGTTATGAGGCTTTGTGTCTTCACGATCCAGTTTGTGGGTTATGGTATCTCTAACAACTATGTTTCATCGATAACACATTTAGACTTTCAGGGTATGACCATATGCCATACATCCCGTACGTGTTTACCCATATTCAAATTTGACATTACCGTCAATCGCGGAACATCTTCCCAGCTTCCCACCGACTTGGCCTGTATACACGCCTGCATTGAAACTGGCAGATTGGCTCGAATCCTACGCCCATTCTCTCGAACTCAACGTCTGGACTTCATCCCTCGTCACCGCCGTCGTTCCACTCTCGTCCTCCAAGTACAAATGGCGCGTGAATGTGAAGCGCGCTGATGGGAGCGAACGAGTATTCGAGGTCAACCATGTCGTGTTCTGCTTGGGAATGGGGGGCAGCATTCCTCGTATGCCGACGTACCCTGGCATGGTTCGTGTTACTAACAAGCTCATGGAGAAGGACGTTAATCAGATGCATTCTACTTCTACTTGCAGGACGAGTACAAAGGGCAGGTCCTACATTCAATTTCTCATGGAAAGGCTCTCGATCACGTAGGGAAGAAGGTCGTAGTCGTCGGTTCATGTACATCTGGTAAGCAAGTTCTTCTTAACTCCTTCAACAATCTGCTTATGCGCGAACAGCACATGATATCTGCGCTGATTACTACGAACATGGAATTGGTGAGCCAAACTCGTATCTACGTTTCAACTAGCCGTATATTGATCTCCCTCGTTGTCTAAATCTAGACATCACCATGTGCCAACGTAGTCCTACGTACATCATGACTACGAAAGAAGGAGGTCCAAGGCTATTCGGTATGTCCTCCTTCATCGATCTCTCATTCTCTTCCTCTAATATATTGTCGTAAGCCTTGTTCTGGGAAGGCAGTCCACCCACAGATATCGCTGACAGAATCAACGCGTCATACCCAAACCACCTCCTCAAGCTGATGCACCAGCGCGTATCCAGGGACATCGCCGAAGCAGACAAGTACGCTCTTTACACCCTGACCTGTCGCCATTTGACGCCACGAATTCTAATATAACATAATCTATTTTCTGCCAGAGAACTGCTGGACGGTCTGCGTGCGCGCGGATTCAAGCTCAGCATGGGCGACGAAGGCTCTGGATGCCTCATCCTGGCCTGGACCAAGGCTGGAGGGTACTACCTCGGTAAGTCCCTCCTCTCTGCACGGCCAAGTGGCGACTTACCCCCTCCCTCACACCGACACAGATGTCGGCGCCTCGCAACTCATCGCTGACGGCAAGATCAAACTCAAAGCCGACAGTCCCATGTCGCGATTCACCCCGTCTGGCCTCGAATTCGAGGACGGCTCCACGATCGATGCAGATGTGGTCATCTTCGCGACTGGGTACGTGTTTTATCCCTAACCCAACCCAAACTGAATCACCACCTCCACCACCACCACTCACATCCCACACACAGATACTCCGACGCCCGCTCCGCCTACCGCCAAATCCTCGGCGACGAGCTCGGTGAGAAGCTGAACCCGATCTGGGGCCTCGACGCAGAGGGCGAGCTGCAGTCTACATGGCGCGAGGTGGGTGCTGGGCTTGAAGGGATCTGGTGCATGATGGGTGCGTGCTTTGTGTTTTGTGTTTTCCCTATAGTGGATAATAATCTAATCTGCGACGTTCGTTCTCGCCTCTCCTCCCCAATATTTGGCAGGCAACCTCGCGTTATGCAGATTCCACTCTAAACACCTCGCCCTTCGTACGTTCCCTCCCCTCATGCTCATCCTCACCCATCCGCAATAAACACGATGCTAATGCTGATACGCCTCTCCCCTCCTTTTTTTGTGAGCAGAAATCAAAGCCAAAGAGGAAGGCATCTACGGCACGAAATACTAGAAGAGGAAAAAAAAAAAAAAGCGCATGGCATACCCCCTGGCCTTTCCTCAACTTTCATCCATAACGTGCGTCGCCCATCACCGGCATGATCTCCCTTCTTTCCTTTCCGCCTCTCACATACGTGCTAAACCACAGTTCACTCTTGAACGCGAACACGGTGATGAAGGCTAGTAACAAACTCGAGAGGGTATAGAGCAAAGATAAAGATGCCAGTGTCATGACAAGGGATGAAGTCTAAAAAATGCGTGTATGGTTTTCTTTTTGGATTATATGTGTGTCAAGTTCTTCTTTGTCTTTTCTTTCTTGTTCTTGTGTTTTCATGTAACTGCCACTGTCACTGTAAACTTCATTGAGGGCCCAATTTATCTGCTTGTAAAACACGCAAGGTGAAGCAGCCAAGTCAACACCACGCCATTAAGCTGCCAGTCGTTTATCGTCATCAAGTCTGATTTACATCAACACAGTCTACAACGTCCACAACGTTCACATCGATCCAGACTCATACTCATATTCTCTCACAAAACAACAAAACACGAAACTTCTAACATTTAATAGTGCAACTACAGTATAAAACAACACGATTTTCGCAAACCACCACACTTGCTACACGTTCATGTAAAAAACAAACACCGTCGACCATCGCCAAAGCCACTACTAGCTATCCTACACACCAAAACTTTGGATACAGTACTACCACTAGCCACACTTCTGGGCAAAAAGTAAACAATCACATTGGAACTACACGTTCCCACTGACGGGGGCGATTTTGGGGTAAAAGCGAATCTTTGGAACTGGAGACAGAGCGAAAGGAGTGAGGGCGCGATTTGGGAATATAATACTTAGTGCAGCGAGGGTTTTAAAAGTCTTGTTGAACAGCCTTTTTAGGAGACAATTCAGACGCTGACGCTGACGCCGAGAGAAGGAAGGGGAGACTCGAGCAGAACTCGGATTCAAGGTGATTGACAAGTCGAAATACGAGTTGGCGGCTCGAGGTGCAGAGCAAAGGAATGAGAAAACGAAGGGAGTAGGATTGGGCGCAGTTGCAAACGAGGTCGCGTTTCAAAGACGTCGAATGATGACTGGACGCAAATGAACTTGAACATAAAAAAGGACAAGGACGACGATGCGGATGCGGATGAAAACGGCTACGAGGGGGAGTGGGCAACATCCCGAAGATACAAGGACGACGATATGGATGTGGATATGGATGAGGACGAGGATGGCCACGAGGAAGGAAGTAACACAGAAGTACTAAAACGAACACCAGGACCAGCCCTAGACTGTTCCAAAATAAAGACCATATCAGCAAACAACTCGAATATTTCCACTCTCCAACCCTTCGAATTGACGTCGAAGAAGGAGGAAGGGAAGAGGGCAGGACACACCTTGAATAACCGATTCAACCACAAGCCTCAAGCTTCGAGTCCTATCAAAGAAACGCTCGACGGCTGAAACTAAAAAAAGCGATCGGGCGAAATACCCAGCCTTGAAAAACGGTAGCCGAGTCGAAGAATCGAGAAAGAGAAAAGGTATTAGTAAATAAGAGGGAGGGGAGCATCTCCAGGACGACAGGGTCATTTTCCCAGAAAACCGACCACCTTCACCTCCTTATCGAAAAGAAAAAGCACAAGGGCCAATCACTCAAACCCCCACCTCCATTTCCTTCTCCTTCTCCACCCTAGCCTGTTCATCCCCCACCAGTGTCTTCAATAACAACTGCGCCAGCCACGCCTCTTCCGCATCAAACACCTCCAAGTCCTCACTTGCGTCCGTACTCCCACTCCCTTTCGCACCTCCCTTCAGGTTAAGGTTGATCCCGCCGCCGCTCCCACCACCGCCCAACGCCCCAGACGCCTTCTTCCTCACCCTCCTTGGCATCTGCATCTGTCCAGCACTCATAAGCGTCTTAGCAGCCGACCGCGTCTTGAGCCCCATCCCAAAATTCAGTCCCAAGCCTCCAGAAAAACTTTGCCCACTCCCTCCATGTTGATGTCTACTCCTATCTCGTGCAGCAGAACCGGGTGCTTCGAACCTATACTGCGGTTTCACACCACCTACCCATCCGCCCACCCCGCCTCCAACACCACCGCAGCCAGCCCACCCGGCACCAGCATATATAGTATCCCCCAACTCCAACTCGGGCGCTGTTCTCCTCGCCCTCGGCGGGGGTGTACATGACGCGACGGACACAACTGGCACAACGGGCGGAGAGGCGAATGGGTCGCGGAGGGAGCAAAAGTCAGAGTCAGAGTCGGAGGTGGGCGGGGTGTCTGCCTTCGCACCACGCCTACCCTTACCACCCTTTACACAACGTCCATCTGCACCCCGCGTAGATGACGACCGCATAGAATGCGAGCGTGGATTTAAGCCAAACGATGAACGGAGCGAAGTCATCGATATCGGCTTAGATACGCGAGGGTATGAAAAACCCCACGCCGATTTGTCTTGGCCTTGCGTTTGACCCCCACTTTGCGTACTTTGGTTTTGATATTCACACGGGCCCCGCATTTCTCCTTGACTTTGCGTTTTGTCTCTACTCATAGTCGAGCTTTTACTTGGGCTTTGATTCGGGCTGTGCATCTGACTTGGGCCCTGACCAGCCGGCGTCCCAGGCGTCATCGGACTCATCAGCGTCGACATCGTCGACGTCGGACTCGGAAAATCATCATCTTCGTCAATAGACAAAGGCGGTCCAGAGCGATAATGAACAACTACAAAAAGAACGAGGCGACTGCAGTTAGCTTATTTTACAGCCCGTAAAGCAAAAACGACGTACAGAATAAAGAAAACAGCATCCCCGCAGCCCACATGGCCAAAAAGACGCCACGCGCGATATCCAGGTTGACCTCAATTCCCGTCTCCGTCCCTCCCATACCAACATCACCACCAGAGAGAACAACGTTCCCCAAACTCATTGCAGTGACTGCGAGCGCAAAGATCTGGGCAAGGACAAAGGATATCGACATGGGAATAGAGGCTTTCCCTCGTCTACTGGTCACGTCCGCCTTCAAATCAGTCCTTATCCGCGGCATGCTAGCCATAACGGGGTTCTTGGTGTCGATCTCACAAACACCTTTTACCGGTTGAGTGGATCCAAAGCCATGAGCACGGTCATGTCCAAGAGTACCGGGAAACGGCCAAGTGCATAGTGTAGGCGAATGAGGCGACGAATATTTGGACGCTGGCTTGAACTCGGGACGTTGGCCTGCTTCGATGTCTGGTTCGGGCCATGGATGAGTGGGGGAGACTTGGGAGGTAGTGCTAGTGGCAATGACAGTCTCCTCGCGATATTTTGGGAAGAGATAGCGGGTGCTTGCACCGTCTTGGGATGATGAAGTTAATGTGGGGGTACCGAATGGGAAAGCGATGATTAGGATGGGGAGGAGTAAGAGGGCAACGTTGAGGATAAGCTGGAAGGTGGAAGCGAGGAGGGCAGGGATTTGTTGGGAGGAGGAGGGAAGGAATGGGGCAATAAGAGCGGAGAGGGTGTCTGTGAAGCCAGTGAGGAGGGATTAGGATAAAGGAGGATTGAGACATACCGCATAATAGAAAAAGAGATAATGTGCCCAAAAGAAGGCTGTTGTTTCTAGTAGAGAGGGGAGGAAGGAAGGAGAGGGAGAGGGTATATATTGCAGAGGCACCGACTTGAGGAATGGGGGGATGAGGAAAAGTCAGTATGGTAGTTACAGTGACTGGGAAAAGAGAATTTGTATATAACGAAGTGAAAAAGGGAAGAAAGTATGGAAGAACGCATGGGGTGAATGGGACGGGAGAGGGGAAGCAGGTGGGTAAGATATGTAGGTATGTAATGCGCATATATCTATGTACGACGCAAGAAAGAACGAAAATGCAGTACTCACGCAGACATTCCAGCACGACTCTGAACACGAGAGCACAAAGGTAGAAGGTATCAGGGGGGCCAAGCTGCGTTGCAGCTACACCAAAGGCACCAGCGAGAGCAGCGAAGAGACCGAGAGACGCGATGAACGCGTAGGAGGGGAGGAGCGAGGAGCGGGCTACGCGGGTGCTGTTTGTGGGTGCGAGGGAGAGGGCGAGGAGAGAGAGGGCGAGGATGGGGAGGAGGAGGAGGAGAGAGGAAGGGAGGGTAAAGAGCGAAGGAGACATCAATAACGAAAGATTGGATGTCGGTGTGTAATATTTATTCTGGGTACATAAAGAGCGTGCTGGAGAGTTATCGAGTGTGGTCAGAGTGAGAGAAGAAAGAGAAAGAGGAAGGGAGGGAGGAGGAGAGGTCCAGTCCGCGTTAGGAAGGTGTCGTCGTTGGCTCAATCAGGAAGTAGACTCGCCTCATTCGGTCGAACGCTTGCATCGAAGACTCTGGACAACCAATCAGCACGTCGATCGCGATGACGAGATAAGCGACGACATCGGATCCAGCGCCACAGACATACACTCCCTCCACTGTCAAAGTTACTCACTCTCGCCACACTCTTCTCTCCTCTCGCGGGAGTCTTCCCTCCACCGCGAGAACCACGGAGCTCACCCAACCTTTGATGCGTTTCAAGAACCAACCCAATGCCATTTGCGAGATTGGCATTTCTTCTTTCACTAAATGCCACTCATAAGTCAATCCTTAACCCATTTCTTTTTGCACACACCTCTTCTGCACACGATGATCTGTCACGTCCACAGAAATTCAAATTCTGTCGTCCCTTAGTCTGCTTCTTCTCTTCAGATGTCATCCATCAAACTACATACGCACGACCGTCCAGGGCTTCCTCTCCCGCGACGTCCCAGGTTACAATCGCACTCTTGCACTCCCTAAAAATTATCTCTCAATCTTTTCACTGTCCAATATTTTGGATGTACATACCCATTCATCAATTGGCTGCTTCACATATCCCAGTCGTACCATTACATGCATAGCTTGACCCACAAACCTTTGACAAACCGCAGCGAATTCTCTGTTTGGGCTCATGTAGACCCTCGATCACCCACCACCAATACCACAGCTAAAGCATCAGAACATCAGCGCTATGCGGATCAGAGTCTCTGGCGATTGATAGAATCAATTTTGATCCCCATGCCAAAAAGACTCTCTTCCGTATACATCATGAATCACTGTCAGCCCCATTCTGCAATCCTCCCTAAATAATAATCATGCGTCAGCCATTCTTTTAAAAAAATCATCATCAGCCCAGAGAGAGTGATGGGTGACAGCGCAAGGGGGTGGGTTGATGAACATCTGCATCACTCGAGGTGATCACAAAAAGAGGCAGCTTATCATTGCACTGTCATCCCCACACTTCTTTCCGTCGTCGACACAACTTGAGCCCATCACGCCATGGCTATATCTCGCCTTCCGAAAAAACCGTCATCTCATCGCCACCTTCACCATGAAGGCAGGGCGAAGATGCCGATGAGATGCGAGTATGGTGCGGACTCGAAGAGCGCTGTCGTGACTTGCCCCTCATTCGTATCGTCACCTTGTAGCACCAGTCTAGCGATGCAGTTTAATAGCGTACTTACTAACAAAATCAGTACAAGTCTGTCATGAGGGACATCACGAAAATAGTTGATTCCTGCTCAGGGTACGCAAGCAGGAAATTTCCGATGAGTCAAGCTAGGTCAGTCAGGTGTATACACCCCCGTGTGAAATTCCTAATATTCCTGGTACCGTATACTGTCGTTAAGTTACCGTCAGTTCGGATGGGGGGGGCTATTCGGACGTCACAGAGGTCACACAAGCCATTTGGAGCTCCGCTCGGCACTATCAGTGGTTGAACATGATCTTGAGTGTGGTGCACCTGAACTTTTCGAAGCTGAGATTGCAGTACCTTAGTATAGCGTTACTTTCTCGAAAGTCACGCACATGGAAGGAACTCACTCAATAATTCATAATTCTGGATTCTGTGCTAGGAAAGTTGGAGTAAGTGGTAATATATATAGAACTGCTATGGGTTGAGTTGTTGAGGAAAAATGACAGTGAAACATATGTTTTTAGAAATGTCTGAATAGCCCCCCCCATCCGAACTGACGGTTAACGACATCGCCCTCCAGGGCAGACCTGGACCCGACCGTCACCTCACATGCCTTTGAAAACTTTTTCAAGCAACTTTTATGTGGCACATTGCAGTATAGCATGGCCCTCCGGGGCAGACCTGGACCCAACCCATAATCAACTTTTCAGTACAGCATTTGAGTAGGCTCAGAAGAACTGAATAGTTCAAGGCATGTGCGCCAATGTAACATGCTTGTGTTTATGTCATCATGTACAGTCAAGGACTAAAAGCTCCGGGACAATTACTGATTTCATTATCAAAATGAAAACCTGGACCGTTGGGTCCAGGAATTACGTGAAAGCGTACAGTCAAACTAAAAGGTCTGCTGAAAAATACAGCATCAATATCAATATGGAAACCTGGAACCTACAGGTCCAGGAACAATCAGCTATCAACATTGGTTTTAGACCTGGTCTGCCACTGTCGATGATAAGAACTGCTGTTAGAAAACCACACACAAAAACAAACTAACACACAATCCTCACAGATTCCACGGAACTTGTGTATGGGCTTTGCCTCCTAGAATAGTGGGTGATCTGGTTGTTCGTGGGGTGGTATGTATGACAATTCTTCAAAGTAAAACCCAGAGATGTATGGGTGTGGGTTTTGAGGAGGAGGGATAGTTGGAAGATAAAGATAGGGGCTTTATAATGAGTATGGACAAGCACTACCTTGCTAATTGTAGCTCAAAGTAGGTTTGAGAATGACAAGGTGACAAGATTCCCAGTGATAGCAGGCTCCTGATGCACAGACTGTAGTGCTCAGAAGGACTCTAATTGAAAGGGATGACAATGACTTTCAAAAGTGACGAGTGACAATGACAGCAGTGAATAGTAGTAGCAGTGGGAAGTGTTGTGACCACACTGGATCACAAGTAGCAGTGAGTAGTGAACTTGAGATTAGAGAAGAAGTCTGGATTGGAGTTCTTGTTGTTTTTTTACAAGGTAAAATACAGGGGTTTATATAGTAAAAGAAAGGTAGGCTATGCACAGTATAGCTGTGCAAAAAGAATGAGAAAGAACATGAAGGAAGCAATGTATGCTGACATATTCTGTGCAGGTAGTACAGGATAAGATTGTCAAAATAAGGAAAAATAAGGGATAGAACAATGAATGCTGTGTAAGTAATGTCACAGGTTTGTACAGTCATAAAATAAAGTCCAATAGCAGAAAGAGAGCAAGAAAATCATGATGTCATGTAAAAAAAGGGCAAGGCAAAACAATATCAGTATCAACAAAGTTCCTTTATTGTCATTCAGGCATTCTAAAGAAATATGTGTCCATAAAAATGATTCAAAAATCAAAAACAATTGCACTGTAAATGAATATTCTGCTGAAAAAAAGGAACCAGAGCCACTAGTCCACCACCTAGTCCAAATCTGATGGTTTCATGGCCTTACTAATGATCTGGTTGTAATGGACCACCTGGTCAAACAAGGGAGGGAGAGGAGTAGTTCCAATCTGGAACAAATGTGTCCCAGGCAGCATGTGGTAAGTGTAGCTGTAGTGAAGGCAATGGATGAAGGATAAATGTACCCAAGTGAATGGGACAGCAATGTACATGGGCAACACAAGAGGGTGGACCTTTTCCAACTCAAAAACTACTTACCCACATTTCAACCAGGCGAGATGAGCGGCTGATGATTTGATAGCATACAATGGAAGATTGACATCATGAAGATGGACCAGCTGCCGGGGCTTTGCTAATATTAGCAGTGGCATGTGGTGGTTGACAGATCAACAATGGAAGCGGATGGAGAGCGGTGACATCAAGTGTGGCGGAGGAGCAAGAAAGACGAGTAGGAGGAGGGTGGAGGTGACAAAGAAGTGGATTAGAATAGGGAGCCAAAAATGACCGTCTGGTGAGAATAAAAAAGACAGTAAAGGGCCCATGGTGGGGCTGAGTAAAGGAAAAAGGGTAGCCAGTGGCAACACAAAAATTTGCCAAAATGCCAAAATGCCAAAAGTACCAAATGGAAAGTAAAGGTGAGAGCAACTTGATTACCTAGTTAGTTGGTATACAACAGGAGGACTCGTTGAGGAGTCTCCTGGATCTATTGGGGTATATATACTACTACAGGGTTATTTGTACATGTGTACTATACAGTTGATAGCGACAGTGGCTGATGATGTCATGGGGCCTAGCCCGCATGGCCAGCTCCACTGTGTGAGAGAGTTGTGTCTATAAGAAGAAAGGCAATGCGGCGCGAGAAAGAGGAGTTTGGACAAAAGGGGAAGTGCTGCATGGCACCATGTGTGAAAGCTAAAGTACAAGGTTAAAGCGGAGAAATAAAAGTAAAGGGAAGGTCTGAAAATTGTGTTATCGTAACAGGTGTTATGTCACATGACTGGTCATGTGACTATGAAAAGTCCGAAAATGTAAAGTAAAGTAAATGATCACATGATTGGTCATGTGACTTGGAAAAATAAAAATAAAAGTACGGAAAAGGTGAAGTGTAAGTAGGTACTGGTACGTCAATTGTAACAGGCATCACTTCCCCTCAAGCGGCAGGGAAAATGTTCTGTGTGTCAAGGACCTAAGACTCTGTACCTACTGTACAAATTATAAGTTGAATCTCATGCTGTTACAACCAAAGTTTTTATTCTCTGGCGCACAGTGATAACAAGCAAAGAGGGGTGTAGTGAGAGAGTGGATAAACTTTTTTAGGTTTAGGACCGAGTTAGTTAATGGTATTCAACAGGAGGACTAGCTGAGGAGTCTCCTTGATATATTGGGGTATTTACACAACTACCGACTATTTGTACATGTGTACTATACAGTTGATAAAAGTGGTGGCTGATGATGTCATGGGGCACAGTTCATGTGACCACCTCCACTGCATGAGAGAGTTGTATCTGTAAGGACCATTATCTTTTTCCTATTCTTTCTTACTCTTCACTCCAATGTATTGGTTCTCCGATGCTTTTCCTGTTACACTTCTAGCTTTAGGGCTGGAGGCCTTTTCCATTCTTCTCTTTATTGCTTTAACGGGTTTTTTTAACCATCAATACCACTTCATATCACAAATCAGAGACTGGGTAGTACTCCCAGCCAGCCAGAACAATGGTTAAGGACTGGTAGTAGAAATCTCGCTAACCAGCT